CCCTAGCACTAACCCTAACCCTTAAAGTGGACTCAATTTGCACTATTCAAGTCCTGTCTACTCCACCTAGCAGTGGCTCTCTCTCTCTGTCTCATCACTTGCTATCGAGGCACTAGGGCTTGTACTTGGGAACTTCCATCTTTCGTGAAAAGGGTAACATTATCTGTTTCTTAATTTTGATGGATACTTTCAAGGAATTCCATGTAAATATTTTGAGATATAATTAGATCAGCTTTTTGCCTATCTCTGGAGATTTTCATTGTAAATATGTTTAAATAAATACATAAAAAGCCACTTTATTTAGACTGAATTTGACTCTGTAAAGGAGCAGTTAATTCTCCCACTGAAAAGGATTAAACATTTGAAATACACTTGGTAATTGGGACTGTTATTCACTGTCTTTATTGCTGATCTGCTCCTTTCTGTCTTAAAATAAGGACATTGTATTGTTATCAAGCTAGGTCGTATTTAGAGTGAATATAGGACCCATTGGCTAATCTAAACCTCACTGATTTTAACAGGTCTATTGAAAGTATGATCAAGTCTAGATCTGGCCCAATATGCTGGTTTTTAAAAAAGTATTTTATTTATTTTTACTCTTATTTAAACATTTTGTTAAAATGTAGAAGTAATAACAAAATGGATTTAAATGATATTGCTCCTGACCTCCATACTGTTCTTTTTCCTTTCTCTTTCTTCAGAGCAGGACTGCAGAACTTTGTTGTTGCTCTTGGGTGCCTTCAAGTTGTTTCCGACTTATGGTGACCCTAAGGCAAACCTGTCAGGACTTTCTTGGCAAGATTTATTCAGAGCGGATTTGCCTTTACCTTCTCCTGAAGCTGAAAGAGTTTACTTCCCAAAGTCACCCAGTGGGTTTCCATGGCTGAGCCTGGGTTTAAACCCTGGTCTTTAGAGTACTATACCATCCCAAATGCACAAAACAGCAATACCTTTATTAGGCCAACCAAAATGCCCAATATACATGTTGCAAGTTTTCAAAGCTCCACTGACAGAGGCAATATGGATCTGAAGGGAAGTATCGTCTTGTGTTGCTAAAGGAGTTTAAATTTTATTTCCTGAACTTTACAATCCTTTGTCTCCCAAAACCCATATGAATATCCTTCCATACCATCTTAACTGAGCAGCAACAACAACAACTTGACAAAATGTAGGCCTATGGGTCTAACTTCATCATATTTTTCTTGTACGCTTTTTAACATCTTTGCCTGATGAAGAACCCAGTGGAGCATTGAAAGCTTGCAAAATTTATTTTGAGCATTTTGGTTGGTCTAATAAAGGTATCAAACCCAAAGATGTTAGAGTCACAGGCCTACATTTTGTCAAGATGTTGTTGTTGATGTTCTCAATTAAGATGGTATAGAGGGATAATCACTCCTTCTTCTGGCCGTGTGGTTGGCCTAATAAAAGTATTGGAGAGCCAGCGTGGCATAGTGGTTTGAGTGTTGGACTACATCTCTGGAGACCCTGCTTGGCCACGAGGCTCACTGGATGATTGGGCAAGTCACACTCTCTCAGCCTCAGGGAAAGGCAATGGCAAACCACCTCTGAACAAATCTTGCCTGGAAAACTCCATGATTTGTTTGCCTTAGAGTCACCATACGTTGAAAATGAGTTGAAGGCACTCAACTACAACAAAATAAAGGTATCACTATTTTGTGGATTTTAGATGTTATTGTACTTTGCTGCGTGGCTAACACGGCAACCTCTGGATATGTTTTCTGGTCTTCAGAGTCATAGGCTAACACCCAAACCACTGCAGCTCACTGGTTCTCACAACTTGTAACCACCGTCAAATTAAATACAGTCCAAAATATGTGGATTGTGGCCTCGTAAGTGATAGAAAAACTGCAAAAAAGGGGGTGTCAGGGGATGAAGGGAGAAAGAGAGCAAGATCACTGGGCTTCATACAGGGCAAGTGCATTGCTTTTGCCTCTATGGATTAGAAGTTGTGTGGGTCTGTCCCTAGTGGGAAACCTAAAATGTCTGTGAGAGTCGTTTCCCCCTGCACAGTAAGGAGCAATGTCTGCACATGGCATTGTTTATTTTATGGAGGAAAGTGAAATGATTCACATACTAATGAATGTGTCATTCAGATGGTCTTTTGTTTTGTGTCAATGAAAGTAGTGGCTCCAGGCAAACTTGGCATGGAAAAAAAAACTGACAGAGAAAGCAAAAAAAAAAAAAACCCAAAAAAACCAAACAGCAATACTGTTCTTTGAAAAGAAAGCGTTTCAATACAGATTTCTATATAATTCTTCTCTAAAGGAACTGCAAATGAATCACCAAGCAGCAGAGGGCTATAGAGTTCTGTCATTACTGTCATGTATGGAGAACATAAAGTTCTGTGTTACTACATCTTAAAAACACAATCACAAGCACTAGAACAAGACGACAATTAAAATGCAAAAGAAGTCAGAACAATTTCTCTGTGTGAAAGACAAAAGTATCGGGGACTTTTTAAATGGGGCAAGGGGAGCAGAATACAAGTGAAAACCTAATTCTTCTTACTAAGGTATAATAATGTGAGGGCATGTCACTGCGTATGACTGAATACTCCTCAACTGTAAAAGCAAAAACAAAAAAAAACTCCACAAAGAGCAAAAACATATTGAGGAGAAGGTTCTAGCTTCCACAACTCTATGACAAGCTACTTTTCTGCATGAGAGCATGGAGGACGCATTCCTCCTCATGAGAAGCAAAGCATTTTCCTGTAATAAAGAAATTTTACATTTGCAGACAGAGATAAACTTTCTCAGGAGAATTCAGTCTTAGGACTTTATCACACTGGGGAAATTGTGAGTTTAAACAGTGGTTAACCCGTGAAAATCATTCAATTGACATTAAAACGTGCTTAAAATGATATTAACGCAAGTGCCATTATCCCGTGAATAACCAGGAAATAACCAGGCAACACACAGCAAAAAGTAATTAAAAATGCCGTGAATAAGTTCCTGCTGTTTCTTGCCTGGTTATTCATGGGATAATGGC